TTTTGCTATCAGTTATTCCCACGCAGATGAGGAATGTCTCGACTAAAGGAAGCACATTTAGAGGGGTATAGGCCAGAAAGAAAACCAGCACAGGCCCAAAGGATATACTTGTGAATAAATGTATTACCATATATGCATTGATGTATCTGTAGTTTTGGATTTTTAAAAAACTCCCTCAAAATCACTCCTTCAGTGCAGAATAGCATTGCTAAACTCAGCATTCAAGTGCTAAGCACAGGTAATTCCATTATAAGGTTTATCTACACTTTCAACACCAACACAAATTTCAAATTTAGCCTTCTCTGTATCAACAAGTAATGTCATGTGCACTGAATTAGCCTCGATGGAAGCATTTTTTATTAAAAAAAATAGTTTTTATTAAAACAATGGGTTATCCAATACTGAGTCAGAGCAGTCAATGTTTTTCAATTCCATGCTCAAGGCCATAAGAGGAATTATATTTTATGTGAGAACTCTGAGCTTTTGGAAAGAAAGCTGGGCTGAAACAGGTTTCTAATCTAGGCTTACAATTTATCTCTGGATTCTAAAGTAGAAATTTTAAAATTATGCAGCAACCAAGGTATGTACATTATACTCTCCCCTTCGTACTTGCCATTCATTTCTCTGTCACTGCCCTACACTGCCAGACATTGACACTGGGGCCATCTATTCCCACCCCCTGACTCATTCTGCAATACATAATAACAAAGTGCTTCATATTACGTTATATGCGTTCAAAAAAGGCATGTGCTTCAGTGAAGTACTGAGCGTATTTTTCCTGCACACTGAGTTGGCCTGAAAGCTATCTTCCATGCTACTGTTTCCACAGAACCATTCCCAAAGGCCTTGAACTCTTACCTGATATTTCTGATACCACCTTTGATCTTGCTGTGTTTCTACTTCTCCAAGCATGACATGAAAGCAACATTCCTGTATTCTTTTACATTTGAAATCAGCTATATTTCAAAGCTCTGATGTCAACAGGACAACTTTATATCATCTCCACTTAAACATATCTGCTCAACAGATGTGAAATGCATCTTTTGTTTCACTACTCAGCTTGAAGCCAGCTACATAAGTAATTGAACGAAATGGTATTTTGTGAGTATGCACAGCTAGTTGTCTGTCACATCATTAAAAGCTGAAACCTTGTCACTGGTCTTGTGCCTCAGGATGATGCTGAATGGTTGGCTTTCCTTAGAAACAGATTTAGTGCACACTGCTAGTGCATGCAGACATGGGAAACACAGGAATGGACACCAAAGAGAGAGCTTTATATTTGCATTTCATCCCTTTGGCCATCTTGGTAGCCTTCCATGCAGATTCCCCTGCTATTCTCAGGACAGACCAGCATGGATAGTCAAGAGTGGGGAAGAAGGAGCAATTAATCTGCCACCCAGCTCTGTGGATGGAAAAGCTAGATTCTGCACCCCTTTGATAGGTGAGTCCGTAAGTAAGAGAACCTAAACTTCATACCCTGAAGCACCTTGGCAGCAGTGATACACAAGGGTTCAGGAATCAAACTAAGAATTACACCAAAAGGACTTGAATTTCCAGGATCTGCTTCTCTTTGTGCTTTTTAGTTATACTTCACTTAGCTTTGTACTTTCAAAAATCAAGGGGAGAAATCAAGAGAATGGCAGGAGGACAGTGATGAAGAAATGGTAAAGGAGAGACCAGGCTAGAGAAAGGAAAGGAACATAGAGTTTCCAGTTGTTAAGCCAAGACAAAATCTTTTCAGATTTCACTAAACTTTTGATTTAAAATTATTTGATTTGACTTAAAATTCACCTCTTGAAAATACTAGGAGGGCATTTTCAAGAGAGAGGGAAAACACACTCTCAGCTCATTGGTCCTGCAATCACTAAACCACAAGGCCTGCTGTCTGCTGTACCACGTCTCTAGCTGCAAGGAACTATCTCAATATGGGCATACATTTTAGTTATCAAAGCAGCTGAAAACAGTTCCTGGGCCCCTGTCTCTCCACAAAGGATCAGCCATTGCAGAAAGGTAAGGACCAGCCTTAACCCCACAGCACCTCCTACGAGTAGAGCCCATACCTACAATTACCTGAGTGTACTTTTCACAAAACCCCAAATTCTCTATTTTAGCCCAGAACCTGAAAAAAAGCTGGTAAATTTAATGTTTCAGGGATGCAACACTTTGGATCCTCCAGGTTTAAGTGTACATAACTGGTATCAAGATGAACTTCTAATGTATGTGGGGTTTTAGCATACCAACATTGGGATGCTAGGAAAAGAGATGGCAATGTGCTCTTCTCAAGCATTTGCTATTGTTTAAGTTAAATCTTAATACCTTAACTTGTATGCTTCTGTAAGATCTGTCCAGTTGTTCTGTGTGCCAAGCTGGACCACCACCTCTTCCTTCCCTCTGGTATTTGCAAAGTATCAGGGAATAAAAGTTATGATAGCCCCAGTGCCTCGCTGCTGCAAAAGCCATTTATATAAGGCTTACTAGATCTGTTCCTCAGGTGTTAAAACTTCACTGAAATAAAACAGATACAGTGACAAAGGCAGAACTGGCAGTCATAATCATGATGTGCTTTTTCATTCAACTGTATAAATATTTACTTAGTACAATCCTTCTGAAGATACTTAGAAAGTAGCTCAAGTTCAAATCCCTGTTTCATTACGATGCTAAAAGGATATTCCCCATCCAAGCAGCAAATATGAGTAAATATTAAACTTGTCCAGAGCACTGGGAAACAATAAGGAACACACCATATACATAAGCAACACTGCAGAAGTGCCAGGCATTTAACTACCTTTCTCTGAAGTTGAAGGATTTATTCCCTCATGGTGCATCTCTTTCATGAGCACCATTCCACACCACAAACTGATCAACACTGCCAAGACTCACAGCACGTACACAAAACAACCTCTCTTTCGCTGTAAAAAGCTAAGGAGAGAATGAAAAATCACTTCTCTCTACCCTGTATCCCCAGGATACCAAAACTGGTTTCTCTTCAGTTTCCAGGCAATTTGGCTACTTCTACACAGTTTGGGAGGGGAAGTTCCTTAAGGCTGCTAGTAAAGGAAATTCACCAGGGAAAACCAAATGGAGCTCTTCCCATTGCTGCAGGACAACAGGATTATTTCTGCCACTTCATCTCCCTTAAAGCTTTAAACTTGCTCCAAACTTCTATGCAGCACAAGCACAGAGATGTAACTGAGGTGCACAGCTGCATCTTTGTAAGACATTTTCAATGCTCAGATGTTGGATGGAACTGTCTTGTCCTCAGTCATGGACATGAGGAGACACAAAAGCTCATTTGGCTCAGGACACATGCAAAAAGAACTAAACATGGCCTAAGTGGAGAGAACCTCTGATGTCATATTCTCAGAGCAGACTTGGATTTTATATATCGTATAGAGATATCTGGTGAATAAAATTCCATCCTAGGATAAAATAATTGAGCTACCTCAGGATGGAGGTCCCAGAGAACTTCACTTGTATTCAACTCCTTGCTTATATGGGAAAGCATAGTTTTGCCATACAATATTTGATGAAGAACTTATTTGTCAAACTATGGTAAAAGAAACAAAGACATGTGGTGCTATAATAAGCTAGAAGCAGGACTTCCAAAACTAATTTTCAAATAGAGCAAAGAATCCTAGAACATGATCATGAAGCTATTAAGCATTTTCTGAAACATTCAGGCAAAACCCCAGCAACAGCTAGCCATGCTCAGTAAGAAAAACAATAGAAGAGGGTTTTTTTAAAGCTATTTACATTTTCTTTGCACAATAACAACAATATTGTTATAATCTCCAACAGCACGTAAAAACCTTTACTAAAAACACGATGTATAGGATAACTCTCTTGCAATAGACTAATGAGTGTTGAAATTTTAACAGATAACAGCTAACTCAGAAATAGCACAGAAAAAGTGGAACAAGTTAGTGGACAGTATCTGTTCTCTTACAACATACACAGAAGATGATCAAACCCTGATGCAATCAGGAATCCTGACCACTCTGATTATTATATTACTTACTGAATAGCAAAATATTACTCACCCACTCTTCCTTCTAATCGATATAACTACCTGCCTAATTATAAATGTTGCAATTTTGTGGTAACCTCATTCAAGGCTGCTCAGCTGCACAAATAAATAGAAAATCTAATCTATATGCACATATATTAATAAAACTGATGAACATTGTGCAAAATGCTGTACCAAGTGATCACCTGATACTCAACTGATCAAACCACTGACTTCAAGTTCCTTGAGTATTTATAACTAGACAACAGCATGTTATAAAATTCCCTTCCTGATAGATCTTAAATTCAAGACTATATTCTACAGCATGAGAACTACACTCCTGTCTTAAGCTTGCTGAAATGGAATGGTAGTGACAGTATTCAGCCCTCTTTGAAAACCAGTTTCAGTACTTGACACCTTCTAACAAATTATTTTCAAAATACAGTTATGTTTTAATTATTAAATCAAATAACCTGATTCATTTTGTAAATGAATGTCATTTGCAAAATTATGTCATCTCTTTTCAGAAAACAAAGCAAATTAATTTCAGTTCCAGCTAATCTATGGTCTTTGTAACTTGGAAGGTAAAGCTATAGTTTTGAATAGTTTATTATTTGCCTATTAAATGCTATTAAATGAACTTTTGATTTAAATTTAGCTCCCAAATTCCAGTCTTTATAAATATAAGCACTAATTGAAATATTTCCATGAATACAAAGATGTTTTCAATAAGAGTGTTTGCACAGAAGGAATGAACTTTGTCTCTGACATCTCATATCCAAAACTTCTCAGTACTGAAAACCTTTGGTCTTCCTTTACAAACATTAAAAGATTCAAGTGAACTGATTTGAGGAGGAAAACTGAATTTTAAATTGTTAAACATGGAAAAAAATGGCAGTCCCTCTTGCTCAATCCATTCGGGTGAGCTTTTCTGCTATAAGAGATGATTTAAGGAATAAGCACCAGTAAGACCCATCCATTTAGTTACTCTTACCTCAATAATATACAAAACCACATTTTTGTAGAAGCAGTACAGTATGCATTTGGTAACTCGATTGTAACTCCAAGCACCATGGACCAACAGTAGCTTCTCCAAGTAGGAAAACTGAAAGACAGAAAAGAAGTATTAAGATATATGAAGAATTGGTAAAAAAAAAATTGGCTGAAAGTAAACCAAGTAAACCAAGTTGAAAGTAAGAAAGTCCTCAAGGAAAAAAAAAATAAAAATCCTCAAATCAGCCCTGAAAGCTGTTGAAGTGCAATATTTAAATATGTAAACAGAAGATATATGCAAAAAACAATTCTTAAAATACTTAAAGCTAAAATCTTTTTTGTAGCAAAACTTCTGAAGGTTCTAAAAAGTGGTTTTAAAGGGCAAAAAGTCTTCAACTGTTATTACCATCCTGATGGTAAAATCAATGTTTGAGGGCTCACAAGATTCAGAATCTCCTTTCCCGGTGTAAAATGAACAACCTAATAAACAAAACTGTATTGAGCTGAAATAAAATACACAGGAGGGGAACAAAAGTGGAAAAATGCATGCATTTATACAGAATAGATACTTACATTAACATTTTCTGCCCACAAAATGCATGTGATTGTGTGTTATATAAAATAATGTATAAAGCAAGGTGTACTTGCCAAAAAGGGCATGTAAATTAATCTTGTAGAATTGCGTACCTTTTAATGCTAGTTTGAAGCCCAGAGGGAGCTCAAATTTAGAACTTTTGAAAATGCACTTTTATGGAGCCAGTGTTGTAATCCAGACTGGGAAATGCATAATTTTCTCATCTTGGCTTTGTTAGTGAACCTTTTTTTTGACCTGCAGCATTCCTCTTTTGCTCACAGCTCAAAGAGATGACTGTGTTTACTGTTTAGCATGTATATACCTGAAGGGATCTTAGACACTAAGGTAATTATTTGTTTTGCTTTCTTTTCCACAAAGTGACTTGACAGGAAAACCCTGACTTTCTAAATGTAGATTATAGATAATTTATTTTAACCAAAACTTATCTGAAATTGAAAGCTACAGTAATGAGTTAGTGAGGCAGCTCTGCTCCCATGCTTTCTAGCAATGAAATCACTGAACCACAAATCCTGTAAGGACAGTCTCTCTCCCATGCATCAGCAACTCAGATTTGTTAGGATATACCAGCAGAGAAGGAGAGAAAACAAAAGTGAACCAGGCTTCACTGTTCTCAGCTTAACTTGAGCTAGAGCTATAACTGAGACACTCCCAAGGGAGTAGCTGACCTGTTAGACCCCTAAATGCCTCAAGTTAATTTGCAGGAGAGCTACAACTTTCCTCATCAAAATCACTAACAAAACACCACCAAGGCGATGGCAAATGTGCCATGATGTCCTTACAAGCCATCCCAAAGCTCCTGTGGAGAACAGTCAGAAACAGCCTGAGAACATCTCTCTGCTGAAACTATCAAGTGACCATCGAGGATGTGGCCTTCTTGAAAGCTCAAGGCAACAAAAAATCCTACCACTAATTGCTCTTGTCTGTGCTCTCATGAAAATGAGTGCACTACAGAGCACAGCAAGGAAGATACTCGGAGCCTAAAGAACACACAGAGCCTGCCCACAGCAGTGAAGAGTGCCATTAAAACACGGCAAAGAATCAATCTGCTTTGATGCTGCTATTATGCAAGCGCACAGCTACTGGCACAGAGCAGTACAGACAGGGGCTCTACCAAGACACTGTCCTTGTTTGGCTGCTCCTGTATTAACAGCATTTTAAATCAGCAGGAAACATTATGACCATCTGGCCAGCCTACCTGTGAAACAGTGTGTGCCTCTGTATCAACCCTACACTACTCTGTAGTGTAACTTTTTATACAGAGATTATCTTCTAGAATCTATCTTGACTAAAGGATGAGGTGATGGCATGTTGGGGGCTTTAAGACAGAGAAAAGGCATCCAGAAAACAAGCCAATTTTTCCAAAGAAGAAAACTGAAATAAGAACATTTGTTGAAGAGAGAAGCTTCCTTAATTAAGAAAAGGAAACTGTCCCTAGACACCAGATGTTCTCTGGATTAAGATTATTAAACTATTTACTGAGAAAAAGAAAAGTTATTAAACTCTACTACTGTCTCTCTAACTAGTTAGGTCATTTGATTTGGGAATTCTCTAAATAGAGGTCACTGGTGCAATATCATTTCAAGGGAAAAGGATGATTCAAACAGATGCTCCTTGCACCTGTGGAAGCTATTTCAAGTGGAGTCAGACACAAGTTGGCTTTTTATTTTTATTTGGTTTATGCTTTGATTCTCCCTGGAATCCCAAATGAGCCTATATAGAGACTCTCTCTTCTCTAAGTGCCTACTTCTGGCAGCACTGCATTTGAAATAGCATTTGAACATGAGATGCTACATTACAGTGGTCGTCTTAAATTACTCAATAAGAACATACTCTGCCTTCAAGGCATGCACATACAGTAATGTTTTAGTGGGAGTTATATGTCTTTGCTGAAAGAAATACACTCCACGGAGATCAAGTTTTTCTTTTGAACACTAATTTACTTTTTTCTTTTTTTTTTTTTTTTAAGCACTACCACACAGTATTAGTCTCCTCTACTAAAGGGATTTTTTAATATGTTTTCTGATTTAATCAGTGCAGATTCTTTTACACAATCAAAAAAACCCAGTTCCACTAGTCTGTGAATGCTGCAATCCTGTGCTGGTGTCACCAGTTTTTATTTCCTACTGAATGAAAAAGATTCATCGTTATTGTCAGTAACTTGCTGACTGGAATTCAAACGAAGAGCAGCTTCCATGTTCTAATACTAAACTGAAGTATAGGGATTTTTCAGTGCAAAAGCACCACATGAACGTGGAATTACTTCTCCAGATTTAACGCTACCGCAAAAGAAATAACACATGTAGGGCCTTCTATGGACAAAACTCTTGCTGCTCATGCTTAGTTACCAAAGCAGAAGTAATAAATGATCTGAGGAAGTCCAGGTAAAGAGTATTCCATTAAATTATATAGCAGAAGCTATATATAATCCACTGAAATTAAAAATGTAAAACTCATTACGAGATACCAGAGACAATGGCTGTGGCAGTTCCTATACTGGTATATATTTGGAATGTGCTAATGTTCATGACAGAAAAACTTGGTAAAACTGACTAAAATTCTCAAGATAGGTTTTGTGAAAGGACTCAGTTATTCAAACCTGAAACTTCAGGTTCTTCAGTGTTCTTCCTCAGAGGTTACAACAGGGCAGAAATACAAGACCGCCACTTTGCTTCTCAGCAGGGTTACCATAATAAACAGCTATCTGTGCATACAGCAGCATTATCCTGCTTTTTCAAGCCTCACCTGCTACTGGGAGCTATCAAAAGATGGTAATATTTCACGTCACTTGGTAGAAGAAATCTGACTACACCCTGCCAGAAGGGATCATCAGCTGAAGCTCTGGTCACTGAGGAGACAAGGGATTGTCTCTGCTTCCTGTCAGCTGGATCTGGTTTTGCCCTGCATCAGTCTCAAACACATAGAGTATCTCAGGTGTAAACAGTATTCAGAGGATATTCAGCAATTGAAGCATCTTCCTTTCTGATTTTTCTTTCAAAATCTTGATTCTGAATTGTGGTTTCTTCAGCAAAACAAACAAACAAGGCTTTTAACTCCTCTTTTTAGCTGCAGTAATCAGTTCTGAATTTGATGAGCTAATTTAGTAGCTCTCACCAAAATAATGTTCAAAATAAGATATGTAAAATGAAAATGCTGGCCAGCTCTCTAGAACTGTGATCAGTTCTTGGATGCAACACAGGGGGTGTGGGGAAAAAAAAGATAGAGGAGCCACCTCAAATTAAAAACTGCTGAACAGCCCAATTCTCACACACCTGGTTATAGTACCTACTCATAGTAAGAAAAAAGTTTGCACCAAGACAGATCAGTTACTTAAAATCATATTAACACAAGCATCACAGAAACTGCCTCCCCCTGATTACTGAAGAACCAAGATATTGTACAGCTGTCAGGAGGAAACTACAGCTTTGAAGAGAGGTGGAGCTTTGCCCTGAAGAATACAAAATCGTAACAAATACCAAAAATGTATTAAAAATATGTTCTAGACAGCTGCCTGGAAAAAGAAACAATCAGAGATGCTTCTAGCTTAGAAGAAGCCAATCGAGCACTACATGGCAGCACAGTGCATTTCTCAAAGATGATATGGCAGTTGTTCATTCTTGCATCTGACCTGTGCAATGGCATAATCCGAGCAATTGGTTGCCTGCATGCCCTCATTGCCACTGATCCCCACTCCAACATGAGCTGTCTGGATCATTCCTACGTCATTGGCACCATCCCCAATGGCAAGTGTTATGGCATTGACGTGTTTCTTGACCATGTCTACTATTTCAGACTTCTGCAGAGGAGATACTCTGAAAAGGAGAGAAAAAGGTGTCAGTTTCTCACATGCTGCGCTGTGTGCCTTTCCCCAAAGGACAGCTGTAACCTACATTTAGAAGTAATCAAAGGCAGTTGCTGGGAAGTTCCTTTATTCAACAACTAAGCTTCAGAACCCATGCCAAATTATTTCAGAAGAAAAAAGTAACTTTAAAAATAGTTTCACATTTACCTACTTGCTGATAGTTGATGCAGAAGAGACCAAATCTATATGAAAGGTTTCAAAGCTTTGTTTTCCTTACCCAGCCCCTCCTAATTGGCATAACACTGGTGATGTTATATTGGAAACATTGAAGTGTGTTTCCTCTTCAACTATGAGAGTTTACAGATTAACAGTGCAGGCTTCCCTGCCTCCTGTCATCACCATCCAGAAGGAGAAAGACCACAAATACATTCAGAGACACTTCCAGTGGTTTACAGAAGATAATGTAGGCTTACTTTATTATTTAACAATTAATGCTTAACATCTTTATCAATTATCTCAATGAGAGGATTGAGTATACCCTAAGTATATACCTAAGTCAGTTTGCAGATGACACCAAGTTGGGTGAGAATATTGATCAGCTGGAGGGGAGGAAAGCCCTGCAGAGGAATCTGGACAGGCTGGATTGATGGACCAAGGGCAGTTGTATGAGGTTCAGCAAGGTCAAGTGCTGGATCCTGCACTGAGGTTACAACAACCCCAGGCAGTACTACTGGCAGAGAAACTGTCTGGCAGAAAAAGACCCAGGGATGCTGGTCAACAGCAGCTGAACATCAGCCAGGGTGTGCCCAGGTGGCCAAGAAGGCCAATGGCACCCTGGCCTGGATCAGCACTGGTGTGGCAGCAGGAGCAGGGCAGTGACCGTCCCCCTGTACTCAGCACTGCTGAGGCCGCACCTTGAGCTCAGTTTTTGGTCTCTCAATTCAGGAAAAAACAAGTGAGGTGCCGGAACATGTCCAGGGAAGGGCAATGGAGCTGGGGAAGGGTCTGGAGCACAACTCTTATGAGGAGCAGCTGGGGGAGCTCTGATTATTCAGCCTGGAGAAAAAGGCAGGGGTACATACCTAATCACCCCCTACAACCACCACAAAGGAGATGGTACTGAAGGAGGGATGTCTTGCCCCAGGTAAAAGATGGTAAGAACAAAAGGAAATTGCTTCAATTTGTGCTAAGGGAGGTTTAGATTGGATATGAGGGGAAAATTAAGGGAAAGTGTTAACCAGTATTGAAACAGGCTGCCCAGGGAAGTGGTGGAGTCACAATCCCCAGAGGTATTTAAAAGTTGTGTAGATGCAGCACTGATCTTTAGTGGTGGACTTGTCAGTTAGAATTATCTTGAAGAACTTACCCAACCTTAATGATTCTCTTCCCTCCTCCAGGTGACCTCCCCAAGTGCCAGGCCATCCTTCCAGTCTCAGACTATGCAGGTCAGATCAGAAAGCACAAGGCTGCTTCCTGATCTCACATATGCCTTGTGTATGCAACTTTGACCTCAGCAATGATGTTACTCAATTCCAACTCCAAAACAAAAGACTGACTCCATTATATCTGAATATCCTTATCAGATTTATTGGCAGTTACTTTGACTTGATTCTTCTCTCATTTTATATCAGTTTCACATCAATAAAAATATATGGAATTCAGAGTTGAACTAGTCTAAATCAGGCAAGAGTAGAAAAATACTCAGGACTAGGTTTCTAAATTGGATAAGACACCCAAAATGCCCTTTTGTCATGGAAAAGGTAGATCAGGTTACCAAATCATATGAGGTATTTTGGAAACACCTACATGTAGATTAAATATTTCCATTCTAACCCCATCTGTACAAACAACCCTAATTCCTTTCCCCATCAGTTTTGGTTAAAGTTCCAAATTACTTTGTATTTCCTTAAATAAAGCTTTAGACAAAACTTTTCCACATCTCAAGTCAGCCACATACCACTCAAAAAAAAAAAAAAAAAAAAAAAAGTAACTGATAGCTAAAAGCTTTACTATTAAAATAGAAGGAGAACAGGGAGCTTGGGGAATAGGGGAGACAGAGGTTTTTAACATGGCTTTTTTTCCAGAGTTTACATCCTGTGAGAACAACTTAAATAGCCACTTAATACACCCATTTGGATCACTGCTGATTAAAAAAAAAAAAAAAAAGGCAGAATTATCTTGTTCAGCGTTATGCTTTATGGACTTGGTTTTGTTTTGTAAATACCTAAATAGGTGTTTTATTAGTAAATCACTCTTAAAATAACTTGATGAATAATGTGGGGAAAAAGAAACCTCCTAAGCTCAAACTTCACATGTGAACTAAACCATCTGAGAAGTCTAGTAGCTGTCCTGTTCCTAAAAGCCAAATGCAGGAAAAAGTTGACTAAACTATAAAATTTACTTAATACTATTGGATAGATCTATTAAGCACTCCACTACCTGGTAGTGAATCACCACTAGGCACTGTAGAGGTTCAGTTAAATTACCAACACAAAACCCCAACACACCAACTTATAGAGCACAAAAGCTGTTGGTTTTTAGTTATAAATCAGCTCTGAGTATCACCTACACCTAATTTTAACTTTTCTCTCATACATGCACACACATGCTCCTCCCTCTCCCCCAGTATTCACATAATAAAATACTAAAGCATGGAGCAAGGAGTCAAATGGGACTTCAAGGGACTTTTCACTAAAATGGAAACTCCAGAGGGACTTAGGACCAGCTGTGGAGGGTTTGGATTGATAAGTGCACAGACCCTCATTACCAGCCCCAGGGGCACCTCCAGTACACAGGACCATATACTTTTGGCAGTCCTCTCATGCAAAGTAATGCACACATCTGCTAACAGCCTTCCCAGACATACACTTGTCTTGGAATTTCAACTTATGTTCAATTACTTTTCAGTTACATAGCAATAGAAATATCTAAGAAGCGCCCTGTTTTCAACTATGCTTAAAAGGTAAAAAGACAAAATGTGAACAGCATCTCTGACTCTGTAGTTTAAACTAGCAGCTTGTCTACAGACACTTCAGACATGACCAGAATGTGGCAGAGATGCTCAAGCTTGTTCTGGTGCAATTTAGCTGGGACATGTCAAGCAAGCTAATGCAGCCTGTGTTCACTTCTGTGCCTACAGTGTAGGTGTCAGATTAGCGACCCATTATTTGGCAAGTCAAGGGAATGTCTCTATAAAAGTGCATTTATCCACTAAATAATGTACACAGAGCATGCTTTTACTGTCATGACCAAATGAAGTTAATTATATCCACAGTTATGCAGCACCCAGTTAATGTTTAACATCCCCATATGCTTAGTAAGGCTAAACAAACTACCAGAAATGCTACACGTGTGTTTTAAACACCACAAATATCTATGGACTTGGTTGAAGAAGATGAAATGTAAGACAAGATTTCAGCACAGAGTGTTACTCGATTGTAGCTGTTACTCCTAAACAGCAGCTCTATATCAAGCATCCTCTTCAACACTTGAACAGCAAGTACAACTCCAGAGAGCACATTTTGTTGCACACAGTACTTTAGCTACAAAAGCTGCAAATTGAGATGATTAGTGATTTCCTGAGGGGTTTTACAGCTCTCCTCCTCCAAGTCACTGACTCAGCCTCCAAACCTCTTTTGCTCCTTGTAATCTGTTTGGTACCAACACATTGCATTAGGTGACATTAATCCCCTTAGCCAGATGATCAGAGCTGTGGCACAATTCTGCACATTTGATAAGCTGCCTACAGGAAGAACTGAAGATTATAGCACAGGATACTATTAAACTGCAGCTCCCTCAGGTATAGCCAAGTTCACAAAGATTATGGATAAATGCAAGAGTTCAAAGGAAAAAGCACAAGGAAAGAACTAACTTCTTTAAAAAAAATTCTGCAGTGACAGAATCGGTACATATAATTTGATGAAGATCCCTGGCTTTGACTGCAGAGCTCACTGCAACAGTATCAGGATGTAAGCCTCACCTGGGTATACACCCAAATAAGAATTAAGATATGAATAAAGCATCAGTTGCATCAAAATCTTCTGCTTACTCTTGTATTTATTCCCTGGTCAGATAGCAGTGCTTCTTACAAAGGTTCTTTGAGTGCCACTCAAGAACTCACTAAAACCTTTTCAATTATACAGAAGTTATATTTATTGCCTCTGCTCAAAAATATCTTTGACAACAGATTGATTTGCTCCTTTACACATACTTGAGGAAAAAGAGAAGTCAGGTTTCAAGTACCACAACTGCAGTGATGGCTACAATCTGATAAGATGAAGTCTTCAGATTCTTGCTCAAACTCTTTTCCTGACGACCTGAATTTAGCCTACACAGGTTACAAGAGAGCCTGAGGTCACGACTTCACCTTTATAAAGTGCCTATCATTCAGCATCTGGCTGTGCAATACAAAGTGTCCATGGATGATGGCATCAAGTTAAGTGTCAATCATGCAGCAGAGCTGCTCCTTGCCCACCTCTGGGACTTCCTTGTGGTAGCCTTGCTCGAGAAAGCAAAAGCTAATACGGAAAATGAAAGGTTCTTATCAGTCTCAAACCTGCTTAATCATTTTATCAGCATCTTTAACAGATTAAGACAGAAAGGGCTTTTTATCCTGAAGATGACTGACGCCTTCATACCACGTTGAAGGCATCGTCTGTAACAGGACAGGTAGAAGCAAGAGAGGGCACAAATTATTTCAGACCTAATTATCCATATGTTACTTGAATTCATAAGGAAACAGTGGAAGGAAGAAGGGGGTGAGTATTTTTCAGGTACAACATACTGTATTGCTATATTAGTAAATACTTTAAAGTCCCTCTTGAACTTTCAGAAGGCTCATGAAAAAATAGCACAGGGCACAGCACAGAGCAGTAACACAGATGGTTTCCAACGAGGATATCAGTGGCTTCCCACTGACTTCTGCAGATCAGGTCCCAATGGCTTTATATATTTAACTTGCATTTGCTTCTTCAGCCTGAATACAGTTTTACAAGCAAAATTCTTACCTGA